ACACTAGTTCGTTCAAACAGAACAGACGGCTGTTGGTGCCCCATCCCACAAAAGGCACATCCCAGAGTCCCCCAACAAACGTGCCAAGCTGAGCTCAGTTTATCACCAAGCTGAGACCGTGCAGGGAACAGCCAGCCACACAGAAGTTCTTGGGTACAATAGACCCACCTATGCTTCCTTCATCTCTGGCTGGCTCCCCCCTCATGCACGGAGCTCCCCCTACAATGAGTGGCAGGCGCTGGGGCACTGGGAGAGCCCAAGTGGGGAGCCGGGCTCAGCGCTTAAAGGTCTCTCCTTAAAACTCCCGAAGCTTTTTGCTCCATAGATAGCTAGGTGACCTCTTCTCAGGACTCCAGTTTCCTTAAATGTAAATGAAGAGATTCGGGGTTCCTGGGCCCAGACACCCTTTATGACAGAATGGAGCCTTCTCCCCAGGAAGCAGAATGTTGATAAGACCGCTTAGTTTTAAGAATCCTTAATTTCTGGTTGTCCCCATGAGAGAACTGGGGACAGGAAGGTTTTTCCCAGCTACTCCATGCCTCTGGTCCCTGTCACATAGGGGAGAGGTGTGGGACCCCAGTCCCCTCCCTTCCCATAGGTTCCACGAACCAGGCGACTCCAGGAACCAGGGCCTGCCCAGTGGAGGCAGCAGGAATGACAAGACGTGGTCACCACTGGATGAGCTCCTCAGAGTGAGGGCACCCCAGGGCTCCTGAGCCTGGCCCAGTGGTTACCGTGCTCCATTAAGGAAACAGCTCATTCACCAGCAGACTTTCTTGAGTCTGACCTAGTTTCTTGGGTCTGGCCCATCCTTTCCTGCCCCCTCCCGCCTGCAAGAAGCCCCATCCTCCCCTGATTGCCACCTACCACCAGGGGGCTCCTTGCATCCTTTGCTACTGGGAGACCCAGCAGGGGCTGACAGACCCTACTCTCAGGAGAAAGATGCCAGCTTTCATGCCCACCTAAACTGGACACGAAGGGCAGTGAGGAGGAAGGAGGAAATGCAAGGAGGAAGCAGACTGAGAACACCCTCTGGAGTAGGGTATGGTGCCATCCAGAGAATCCCCACTTGGTGCATGTTCTGCACTGGCAAAGATTTCTCCAGGGTCCCCCTGAGAACAGGACACCCTAAAAAACCCAAATATTCTGTCTGGGCAAGTCTTAGGGTGCAGGAGTGACCAAGAATTTGTGTGTAAATGTGAGGATGTTTACATGCATATAAACACACACATACTTCTCATTCAATACCATGTGTAGCAACTCATTAACGCAGGACATGCAGAAGGTGGTAGAGCGTGCGTATCAAACTCTATGTTGTATTTACACTACACCCCGGCAAACATATATACATATGCCCATGTGTTCTGAGCCATCTAGAGTAGACTGTACAAGCTAAGGCATAATTGCTACAAATCAGGAATTCTCTTAAATACTTTTGCCCTTACTTAGGGAATTCCTTAAGTCATCTTCTGTAACAGAAACTCAAAAGTGCAGAGGAAGAAGAGAAAGAGGAAATGAGAGATCAGGAAAGTCAGCCATTGCCCTGAACTTTTAGCACTTGGAGGGGGTCGGGGGAATGAGAAAACTATAGGGTTTTGAGAAACCCCTGGGGCTGGAATTCAGGACTGTGGGCATCTGTGGGGAGGTGGGGTATGATTTGGCTCCCTTCTCTCACTTCCCCAATCCCTGTGTAGACCAGGAATTCCACACGGATTCAGATTCCTTAATTCCATCACTTGTATTTGGTGAGGCTGCTGTTCTCCCCAGCCTAGGGTGCCTCCTGACTTTTGGTTAGGTGGGGGGGCAGAGAGAGGTCCTCGGGGGAGGGAGCAGAGAGAGGTCCTGTCCTCCGGTGCTGGCCTAGGCGAGCTTCCCTAGCTCACTGAAGGTTCTGCCTCCTTTACTTTATCCGCTTGGGAGGTGCTGAGAGCCAGCTTCGGAACAGAGAGCCTCAACCAGCTAAAGCCAAGGATCTGTATGTATTCTCTGTTATCCTTCAGCAAACCAGGATTATATACACATAACATAACTGCACACATTGCCCATGACTTATAAATACAACACACACCATGGTTTCCGTAAGCCGCTCTCTGAGTCCTGGCCTTAGGATTATTGCAATGCCCTTTCCAGAGGCGAATGACACACAGACACACCTCCCACCCTGTCGCCAGGATACTGACTCGGATTGTATGCATACATTTGCAGCAGGCGTAGACTTGGGAGTATGAGTCCGACTGTGTAAGAAATACAAACTTGCACGGGCGCAAAAAGCCACAACAAATCCTACCGACAACCGCACCTTGTGAACGCACGGCCACAGATCACGTCTCTGATGAGGTTAAACAGACACCCCAGCTGCCCTTGGGATACACTTCGCACCGCAGAAAGCACAAACAGACAAGCACACAGCAGTCCACTTTCTTTTCTGCAGCTCCTCTTAGTCATCTAGACAACGGTGGTGCAGCAGGTTGCCAGACGTGCCCAGACACCAGGCCTGACCTGCCTCTTGGGCAGCCAGCCCCAGCTGAGAGTCTCTCTCCAGCCAGTTCTTCCCGGCTCCCCTGGCCCAGGCAGGCTCCAGTCCCAGTCTCAGGGGGATGCACTCAGAACCTCCTTGGCTTCATCCTCTCCCTTCCAGCCTCCCCAGGGAAGCCTGAGGGAGGAGGGGGCTATCCTGAGCCAGAGCCACTTCCCTTTGTGCCCAACTACTTCTAACAAGGATCCCACCCCAATGGCCCCACGGAGTGACCACCTATAAGTATAGGTTGAAGTGGAAGGCCTACGGGCTCATTTCCTACAGCCGCAGTGGGCAGCCCCTCCCGGTCCACTAGATCACCGGGACCTTTGGCCACTGTTGTCAGGTTCAGAGTGGGGGCCAGGGAGGGACACTTGTCTGGATATGGGATCCAACCCAAGTTTCACCGGGGTTACAGCAGCAAGAGCTGGCTGATACCAGGCATCTGATGGGAGAACTGAAGGTAGACCATCCCTAATCCTGCCTCCTGCCTCAGGGCCCCCGACTACAGCAGGGTCAAACAGGCAGGGGTCCCTCAGCGGCATTAATGGCTTTAATTCATTATTTGAAGAGTCTCAGTAAAGGAAAAGAAAGAAAGAAAAAAGATTATATTTCTACAGCCATGCAGTATGTTCATCGTTTTCTAATGCCCCCAATTTTCTTACACATCTCAAGGTAAATAATTATGATGATTAATAATGAGCCCCTCATTATATTTGTATAGAGGTTTTCAGCTTACAGAGCATTTTTTTTTTTTTTTTGGCAAACAGGATTTTACCTATTTGGAATAAACGTATCTAGCTGTTCTATTTGACTGGAAAAAAATTTTGAAGTATGAGGTGCAATATAAGGAAAACACTCCACCCACCTAGTCCGACTGTGTAAGAAAATACAAACTAGGCATGGGTGCAAAAACCACAACAAACTCTACCTACAATCGCGCCTTGTGAACGGAACCACCGCAGATCAAGTCTCTGATGAGGTTAAACAGCCACAACAGACCAGTGATGACACGGAAAACAAACAATCATCCCCGAGTAAACAAACCGGTATCGGGCAACCAAAGAAAAAAAATGCTCTTCTCCCCAGCCGCCCTCCATCCACCCGTGTTTATCTGAAAAAGGCAAAATCTTGCTGAAAACCTCCTTCTTTTAACTGGCTGCTGAACAAACTCGGCAGGCACGACAGAAATAACAGAAGCCCATGTTAAAAGAAAGAACAAGAAATTTATTCGAGTATTGACAAAAACAGCAACAAAACAACAAAAGTGCTCTAGTTCTCTCTAGAAAATTTGGTCCTCCGAACGACACTACAGAACAACGAGGTCTGGGAATTTCGGACAGGCCGGCTCTGGGCCGTGAGCCCTCTGGTCCGACTGCTGCCCAAGGTGCCAGAAGCAAGACGTTTGGAAAAAAAGAAAACCACACAAAATCAGGGAGAGGATGAGTCGTCCCTGCAGAGTCGGCCAGGCAGGCTGTGTGATCTTCCCGACAGGCACTCAGGGCTTGCATCGGAAGATCCGGGGAAAATTTGTTTTTGATTTTATTTTAAATAGAGCGGGGGGAGGGGGAGATACCCCAATCTGTGGAGGAAACCATCTTTTACTGAACGTATTCTCCTACCTCTCGGAACACAGCTTTTTGAAGGCCCGGTAGGAATTCTACTTCCAATCTCCTGGAAGAGAAGATTTTCATGATTTGCTTTAGCGAACTCGCAAGGCCACAATACTTTGTGCCGATTTTCCCGGTGAGGTTTCTTCCTTAACAAATATTTTTTAAAATGTTATCTAAAGCAGCCCTCTCTCCCCGATCGATCATTTTTAGCAAAACCTAGCCGGCCGCAGCGGGGTGGTGTCAACCCGGGCGCAGGCCGCCCGCCTGGCTCTTCTCGCTCGGATCTCCCTGCTCGGGCCCAAACCCCGCCCTGCCCAGTGGGCCCTGCGGGGCGACTTCTGAGCAGCTTTGAGAGGGCACGGAGCAAATAAACACATTTTCGTCCCTTTCCCCCGGCGACTTGGGGATAGATGTCGGCTCGGAAACCTGTGCCTCTGGGCAAGGATGTGCACCGCGGCAGCCGGGCGGGCAAAGCCGAGCGCGAGCGCACCGACCTGGGAGGGATCGTCCAGCGGTCCGCGCCGGAGCAGTTCCTCTCCGCCTTGAATTTTGGTTCGGGGTGTCCGGCCCGGACGCCGGGGCCTGCGGAGAGCGCGAGAAGAGGCGGCCCGCAGGCGGCAGGACCAAAAGGGCATCGAGGGCAGGGAGGCGGCGATCCACTGGAGGAGAAGAAGCCAAGGAGACAAAGAGGAGCGACCGGAGAGCCGAGGGCAGCGAGGACGCACGGAGGCCCCGGACGCTGCTGGTTCCGGAGGCGGCCCCGGCGAGCGGCGGGCGGGCGGGCGCGCGGTCCGAACTGGCGACCGTGGCGGCTGCGGCCCTGGCCGGCATCACACGTCTGTCCCCGCATCCTCGCCGCCGCCGCCGGGCTCTCAGAGATCCAGGCGCGAGTGCAGCGCGCCGGTCTTGCTGTCGTGGTGGTCCCAGTAGGAGCAATGCATCATGGCGAGCTCGGGCTGCCGGGCGCAGGCGAACTGCAGGCCGGGCGCGCTGGGGGGCGCGGGCGCCGGGGGCGCGGCGGCGGCCGGGCTGGCCGGGCTGAGCGGGCCCGGGGGCGGCGCGGCGGCGGCGCCGTGGTGCGGCGGCGGCGGGACCGGCGGGGGCGCGGCGGCGGCGGCCGCGTGGAGATGGTGCGCGTGCGGGTGCGAGTGCGGGTGCGGCGGCGGCGGCGGCGGCGGGGGCGCGGCGGGCGGGCCCCCGAGGCCGTTGTAGGAGTTCACCACGCCCGGGGGCAGCGCCATGCTCTGCACGCGGGAGTACGCCGGCCCGTACGAGGCGGCGGCGGCGGCCGGGCCCGCCAGCCCCTTGACCACCGCGGCGGCCGCGCCGGGACTCCCCGGGCCCCCGGCCGCCGCCGCCGCTGCAGCCGCCGCCGCCGCCGCGGCCGCCGCCGCCATCTGGCAGGAGGCGTAGGGCATGGGCGAGGGCGGCTGCGGGAGCGGCCACGAGCTGTTGAGGAAGCCGGACTGCAGGTACTTGGGGGGCGCCAGGTAGCCGTAGCCGTCGGCCCCCGCGCCCGCCATGCCGCCGCCGCCGCCGCCGGCCCCGAAGAGCCCCTTCCCGGGCGGGAAGTGCGCGGGCGGCGGCGGCGGCCGGAAGGGCCGCTTCATGCGGCGGCGGCGCCGGTAGTTGCCCTTCTCGAACATGTCCTCGCAGGCCGGGTCCAGCGTCCAGTAGTTGCCCTTGCGCTCGCCGCCGCCCTCGCGCGGCACCTTGATGAAGCACTCGTTGAGGCTGAGGTTGTGGCGGATGCTGTTCTGCCAGCCCTTCTTGTTCTTCTCGTAGAAGGGGAACTTGGCGATGATGTACTGGTAGATGCCGGACAGCGTGAGCCGCTTCTCGGCGCTCTCGCGGATCGCCATGGCGATGAGCGCCACGTAGGAGTACGGGGGCTTCTGCGCGGGGTCGGGCTTCTCCGGGGCTGCGGTCCCGGCGCCGCCGCCGCCGCCTCCTCCGCTGCAGCCCTTGCTCGGGCTCGGCGAGGCCGGCGCCTCGGGCTCCTTGGCCGCGCGGGCGGCGTCCGGGGCCAGCAGGGCCCCCGCGGCGCCCTCGGGCTCGGGGTAGCTGGCCATCGGGCCGGGGTCGGCGCGCCGCGGGCCGCGGGCCGGGCAGCCCTCACCCTCCGCGGCCGGGAGTCCGGGCGGGCGCACGGGTCCGCTCGAGGCCGGATCGCACGCTTCTGCAGGCGGCGCTCGCTGGCCGGCTGGCGGGCGGCCTCTCCCGCTCGCTCTTCTCCGCGCTTTTCTTCTCCCCCTTCTCCGAGCGGAGCGGCCGGCGGGAGTGGAGTGGAGCTCAGCTTCTGGCCATGGGGGAATCCGCCCCGCAGAGAGAGGGGCTCCGTCCGGGCCCGCCGCCCCTCCCCGCCCCGCCGGGCCAGTCCCCGCCTCGGGGGGGTCTCTGCGCTGCGCCCTCCCCCTCCCCCGCCCGCCGGTCTCTGGGAAGCGGGACCCGCGTCTCCGGCGGAGCTGCCGCCCCGAGTCCCCAGTGCGCCGCCGGGAGCCTCGCTCTGCTCTGATTCGTATGGGCTCCGCCGAGTTCCGCTTGCGTCAGGCGCCTTCGCCCCTATGGCCGGGCGGCCAGGCGCGCACGGGCGAGTTCATCGCCAAGTCACTTTTTTGGTAAACGCCCCGCACGCACGGCCCGGGCCGGCCTGCCCCCTCCCAGCGGAGCGTGGGGGGCTCGGCGGGCGGCGGCGGGGCTCACGCTGCCCTCGCAAGCCCCGCTAATCGGCCACGGGTCCGACCGCACTCCACCCGTGTCCGGGGAGCTCGGGCCCCACCGAGGAGAGGAGAGGCGAGCTTTCAGGTGAAAGAAAACGACTTCTTTGGCTCTGCCCTTCGCTGGCCGCCGTCTTGGGACTAAATTTCTGGCTCGGGGCTGGGGGAGGGGCGGGACGCCGAGGGGGCCGGACGGGGGTGGGGTGGAGAGAGCTGCGCGGTGGCTTTGGGAAGAAAAAAAAAAAAAATCAGTCCAGAAATTGCGCGTCGCTGGAGGGAGAAACCTCGCTCGGCTTGGTCTGCAAATCGAGCTCCCAGGGCGATCGGGCCGGGCTGGGGCTGGGGCGAGGACCTTGCTGGGGAGAGGGGTTTGGGGTTACTCTGAAGCCCCTCCGCCTTTTCTTGAGCTGTCCCTGGACCTAGGAAGCAGACCCTTCTCCTCAGACGGCGAGTGGTGGTTCTCTGAGCGGTTGGATGGATGCTTTTAGTCTCTGTTCTGCTCCTGGTCTCACGGAGGCGCGGGAGGGGGGGTGCCGCCGTGGGGTTTGGAGGGACTGCGTGTAAGGGCCCTGGTATCACATCTAGAAATCAGGGGAGGGTCTGTCCTGGAGACACGCGAGATACCAGCTGCCCCCGTGCACGTGTGCTGGTGCAAAAACAGGAACAAGCTGTGAGCGTTAGGAGGTCAAACAGTTATAGGTATGGGATGATCTGTGTATCACACATCAGAGTAAATGTGGCTCAAGGGTATTGCCTCTTCTTTCTTCTTCCTCTCTCCTGCCCGCTCTCTTTTCTCCATTCTTCCCTCCCTTCTTCCCCCTCGCCCTGATTATTATCTTTCTCCAATTTTTCCTGCCTCTATGGCTGCCGGTGTATCTATTCTATCACAGATAGGAAGAGGATCAAGCGGCGAGGGAGGCACTTACTTACTGCTCCTCCTGTCATTTATTCTGATCTTTCTCCAGGGTTAAAGGGTGCGTTCTCACCTCCCCTCAGCAGAAATCTGATGGGGACCCAGTTTCATCTATCTGCCTGTGTGGACATGGTCTCAGGGGAAGTCCGCGCTGGCAAAAAAAAAAAAAAAAAAAAAGCCAGGCACGCCTGACTTCTAATGGTTAACATCCTTAACGACAATTCTGTCGTGAGATGTGGGAGTCCTCCTGCCCCAAACGCCCGGGCTGCGGAGGGGGCAGGGATTCTTTGCAGAGGAAGGTGGAGGGATGGATGTCCTACAGGTGTGTGCTCGTGATTGGCCTGTCTGGATTGGTTGGTCCATTGCCTGTCACCACCTCCTCCGAGGAAGCCACAGCCCCCATGCCCGAGCTGCTTCTTCCCACTCGGGCCTCTGAATCTGCACTCTGAGGTTAAAGGAGAGGAGGACAGGGGGATAGGGCTCTTGGGATTCAGCAATCCTAAAGGTGAGCTTCCTCCAGAGCGGTCAGCAGAAACGCCTGGTGTGACCACCGCAGTAAGAGGGCGCAAGGTTCTCTGAAACTCATCTCAGGAAACTCTCCCCCTCCCCCCTCCGCCATTGAAAATATCTCATAATAGCTGGGTGGGTTTCTCCCACTGCCCCAAGCATAGAGCAGAGCACAGCGGCACTCCTTCACATCCTCTGTGCCTGCTTCCTGAGCAGCAGTGCGTGTTTTTCTCCATCCCTACTCCGGGAGTGCCTAGGCTGAGTGGGACAGTTCGGTTTGGGCTGCTGAAGACATCCCATAGGGCCTGGGGCGAGGGGGAAGGGATGGCAGCTGGGGCTGGCCTCACCCTGGGTACTGCTATCTCCTTTCTTTTTTTCTGACCACCCAGGCTGGCGATCTGTCCCTCTTTCCCCGCGCAGGCATTTCCGCTTCTGGCCAGCAGCAGCCAGGTGTAACAGCATTGTTGTGTGTGTCATCACTTCCCCGGATTCCAAGCGTGGCTCCCTTTTCAGCCTTTTAAGGAGTGTGTGTGTGTGTGTGTGTGTGTGTGTGTGTGTGTGTTTGTGTGTGTGTGTGTGTGTGTGTGTGTGTGAAGGAAGGAGTGCCTCTGAGGGATTTTCGGAGTGTGAGAAAGGGGAATCCTGCTCTCCCAGGTAGTGATCTCTCCAGGAGGCGGCGGGGCGCGCCTTCCTTTACTTCTCCACGGTCTAGGCAGGCTGGGAGGGCCGGCTCCCAGCTGGTCAGCATCTCTCGTGGCAGGACAGACTGAGCTCATGCTCGCGCGGGGCTCCAGGCCCGGGTTCTCTCCCCGCTGCGTCTCTCGGCGACTCAGGACCCTGTCTCCGTGACCTCGGTGGTGCCCACGTCCAGGGCCCGGGCGGGAGCTCCCAGCCTCCGCCGCCCGGTTTCCCAGGGCCCGCGCAGCTGCAGCTCGGGAGGCGCGGGCACCTCCCTCCCTGCGGTCTCCCCGCCCAAGCGCCGCCCGAAGATGCCGGGCCAGACCCGCCGGGAGCGCGGCCTCTCCTCCCGCACCTCCGAGGCCTCGCGCCCGCTTTGCGCCCGCCCCGCGCTCGGCGCGAGTAAAACCCTGGGGTCTGATGGCGGAGGTGGTGACAGGCATTGGGCCAGCCACCCCAGACGTGCCGATCACGCTCTGTAGCTGAGCTCCAGGCCGGGAACCCTGCGACCAAAAGGCGGCCCGCGCGCGTCGGGGCCTGCGGTGACCTGGCGCAGTGCAGTCCTGGCGAGGCTCCTGTGGTCCCTCGCGGGCGACAGCCACCTGCACCAGGTCCTGTGGCCCCCTTTCCTGGCGGGACTCTGAACCTTACCCTGGGGAGGTGAGGCTCTGAACCCCATACAGGCCTCTCCTGTGAGTACAGCCTCTGTGGCGTGCATGCGGGGGGGAAAAGGGAAGCTTTTGCCCCACACAACTCCACACTTCAACTGGCTACCTTACCCTAGCCCCCTGCCCACCTCTCACCCCCACCCCCTTATTCCTTCCGACTCCAGGTCCCTGCATACATTTCTCAGTGAATCTGGGACCCCCTCCCCTACTTTCCGCCACTCACCTGCTGTATGCACTAGCTCGGATACTGCACCTCTCGGGTGAAAGTTGATGCCTGGACTCTAAGCCATCACATGCTCGCCACCCAGCTATCTTATGACAGCGATGTCTTGGCTCCAGGTCAGCAAGTCTGAGTCCCAGAACCTGTTGATTCTCGATGTCTTTGGCCAGTGGTAGGGTGATTGGTGGCCACCTGGATGTTCCCCTGGTGAGCTCAGATTTTTTTTTTTTTTTTTGGAAGCTGAGGTACAGAGCACACCCCTGATGTCCTTTAACACACATACACAGGCTACTCAACACAAGCTTCACCTCTGTTTTGTAGCTGAGCTCGCGGCTGCACTGACAGTCTGCAGCCTGAGATGGCTGCACAGTTCTCACACAGCTTGGCTGAGGCCAGCCGGAATTATTCTGCCTGCATGGGATTAGCAGGCTCACTTACCCAAATATGTGCTTGGAAGAGAGAGTATTGGAAGAGAGAGAGAGAGAGAGAGAGAGAGAGAGAGAGAGAGAGAGAGAGAGAGAGAGATTACTACTGCCCATTCTGGAGAATGCACAGATGACAGCTGTTTCTTTTGGTTAGCATCCTTTTGTATCCCTCACCCCTGACCCTGTGATGGCTGGGCCGGGAGGCAGCGGCCTGAATTCCAGGCTCCTCCGTGCCTCTCTGATGTTGGGACTCTAGTCCACCACCACCTCTTTGTCCTGAGGAGTGTGTGCCCTGCCTTCTGTAAGGCAGACTGCAGGGCAGTTGTAGACCTTCCTCCTGGATGAACATAACTCAGGGAGAAAAGGCAAAGGGGGCTGGTTTCTGGGCCTTGTGAGGACTTGTCTTCTCCGAAGACCCCTGGGATGCTCCCAGAGAGAGAATTCCAGGCTGGCAGGAGCTGCTGGCCAGCTTCCTTTGGTGTCCCATAGCTCTGACTGCCATGGCCCAAAGCCATTTTATTCATCCCCAAACAGCAGCTACCCTGCCACTAGGCCCCACCCGTGCTTGAGAGAGGGCTGTTGTTGTCTGATGTTGCCTTTTTCCACACCCAGATGTAAGGCTTGATGGGCAGAGGGTCTGTCTCCCTCAGCGCCTCCCACCAGTGGGCTCAGTATATTCTAATGGGGCTGGGAAATGACTGCACATCAGAGAAAACTGAGAAATGTCACTTTCCTTGTCATAAGCTGGAATTTCCGAGGAAGGGTTGGCAGATGGGACACAATGGCTGGACCATGGGGGGCCAGCTCAGGATCTGAGAGCTTGCTGTGACTGGGGCTCTCTCTTCATCATGGCTGCACAGTCATGCTCCTTAGGCGAGGACACGGGACACCTTCTTGGTTCCCTGCCTGAAACATTCCAACCGAACTTTCGTAGAAATAGTGAG